TGTCCACCCGGCGGCATCCACGAAGTGACCATCAACCCGAGCCTCCTGGCGCCCCTCAACCTGGAGATCGACCCGGAGGTCCAGAAAGTGAAAGTGCACGAGAGGGAGCAGATCAAGACCCTCAACAACAAATTTGCCTCCTTCATCGACAAGGTGAGTTGCCACGACGGTCAAACCACGTGGACCGGGACCGTTCCGTAAGCACGTGTCGCGTGGGCGATTTCGGTATTCACCCAGATTTACCCCCAGGTGGCGGATTCCTTGTCTTAGGAGAAACCGCTAAGAACGAGGATTTCCCCCCCTAAATTTCCACTTCTTAGAGACACGCCGGGGGATAATAAACGACTTTGTAAAGGCCTTCCTCCCCTTTCACTCGATAAGAAACCCTCCACCCGTGTCAGTCCGAGGGCTCCGTGGACTCGACAGGAGTCACGTGGAATTAAAGCCGTGGTGGATCTGAGGCCGGATTTTCAATGCTAAGGGGGCACCTAAAGTCAGGGAGTTGCAAGTCTCCAAAGAAGAGGGGTGCCTAACTTCCTTAGGTTCTTTGGCAAATTGCCACTGGGCATTCGGTGCTTAAATGCTACTGCAAATCTAGCCCCTGGTTTTCTAGTACCCACCACATCCTCCTTACTGGCATCTCTCTCTTTCTCTCTCTCTGTGCCAACTGATCGCTCTTCTTCTCACCAGTGCTTTTGTGTCTACTTGGAAGGAGTTTCACCATGTTTCTCTGGGTTGTTCCCTCCCCAGGTCCGATTCTTGGAGCAACAGAACAAAGTCTTGGAGACCAAGTGGTCTCTGCTTCAAGAGCAGGGCCAGATAACTGTCCAGAAGAAACTGGACCCTCTTTTTGAGGCCTACATTAACAACCTCAGGAAGCAGCTTGACGGCCTGCTGGGAGAGAAAGGACGGCTGGACTCCGAGCTGCGGAACATGCAGGACCTCGTGGAGGACTTCAAGAACAAGTAAGGAGCAAGGCTTCGAAATCCAGGCTCGTGCGAGGCGGGAAAAGCCCAGGCACAGACATGCGCAGAGCTAGGGTCAGGCCTCGGCGCATCTGGCGCTAACTCCCTTGAACGCTGCGGAATTACCCGCGCATAACCGAGCACGGCATCCGACCCGCCCAAGTGGCTTAGGCACGTCAGGCCCACTTGCAAAATGCAACCTGGCACGCCGCGTTTCGTCATGGTGACGTTTGATGTTGCAAACGAGACCCTGACGTAGGCGCCTAAATCCAATCGGCTTCCAGTGGGACTTAGGCACCTTGGAAGATTTCGGCCAATATCTAAATTGCCGTCGCTCTTATTTACAAGACGGCCCTCGCTCCTGCACCCTACGGGGCAGGGGAGGGACCCAGACGTGCCGAGTGCAGAGCGGAGATAAATTACACTGAAGGATCTGAAATGTTAAGCTGGGTGTGTGGTTAGGGATCTGCACAGAACGTTGCAGTGGGGGTATGGCATGAAGGGGCATCTGATATGCCTTTGCGTTTCTTATATTTGTATATTTCAGTCACTTTTTAAGTGCCTTATAGAGTCATATACATTCCAAAACATGCACTGTATCATTCAACCCACTGTCCTTCTTGTTGGATAGAAATACTGGATAGGAAACAGACCTTGTCCTCTTTCTAATCTATCTATGGCTTCCTCCCATGTCATCCACTCCCAGCTTCTGACAAACAGAGGCCAGGAACACCATTCCTACCCATCCTGACTAACAGCCATTCATGGATCTATCTTCCATGAATGTATCTAGCTCTTTTTGGAACCCTGTGAAAGTCCTGGTTTTTGCAACATCCTGTGGCAAGGAGTTCCACAGGTTGTCTGTGCATTGCATGAAGAAATACTCCCTTTGGTTTGTTTTAAACCTGCATCCTATTCATTTCATTTGGTGACCCTTAGGGTATGTCTACACTAGCCACCCTAGTTCGGACTAGGATGGCTAATGTAGTCATTCGAACTTGCAAATGAAGCCCGGGATTTAAATATCCCGGGCTTCATTTGCATGTTCCCGGGCACCTGGATAACGCTTCCTTTCTCGCCTCTCGCCATGACCCACTATGCCTATTGGATTTACCCCCCAACCATGAATTTTCATACAAGCCTTGTTGTAGCAGGCTGGGCTGCTTAAAAGAAACTCCAGCTAAAAGCTCTTGGAATAAACTGTGCAGTGAGTCCGTCAGGCTACTTGATATAATTACTGCCTCTAGCGTAATTAGTGCTGCTTGATAACGGGCCCTGATCCTGCAAAGAACTTATCCACACGCTTAACTTGATAGCTCTATTGGACAAGGACCAATGCGCTTACATTGCAACAAAGTAGTGTGGAGAAAGTGCATAAGGAAAAGTTATTTACTTGTTCCCATAATATAAGAACTAGGGGACACCAAATGAAATGAATGGGCAGCAGGTTTAAAACAAAATAAGAACATAAGAACATAAGAACGGCCGTACTGGGTCAGACCAAAGGTCCATCTAGCCCAGTAACAGGTCCTAGGGCAACTGTCCTTTTCCCTCCCACCCCTATCAGTGGCCCTGATCCTGGGATAGGTCCCCAGGAGCCACAAGAAGAAATGCAGGGGGTTGCAGCAGCAGGAAGGACTCAGTGCATTTCGTGTGTCTTTGCGGTGTAGCAACTCTAGTTGCTCAGCTATGGATGCATAGCTCCTCACGTAACCCTGCAGGGAAGACATTTTCTGATGCCTTATGGCAATTTTTTTCTTTGTGGTCATTTATATTAATGTTTCCAGATAGTTTTCTTAAGTAGTAGGGGTTGAGGGAGAGCTACCAAGGTGACACTATGGCCAAGACCACTAATACACTACTGAGTACAGATATGATAAACGCTTCTGGACTAGTGTGCCCAATTCTGGTTCCCACCATTCAGAAAGGACTGAGGCTCTAATCAGCCCACTCTATGCTAATTAGGCCTAAAATGGAGTATTCTGGGCATCACATTTCAGGAATGATGTGGAGAAATTGGAGAAGGTCCAGAGGACAGCAACAAAAATGATTAAAGGTCAAGGAAACATGATCCATGAGGGAAGCCTGGAAGAAGTGGGTTTGTTTAGTTTGGGCAAGAGAAGACTGCGAGGGAACATACAAAGTATCTTTAAAGTACCTAAAAGGGTGTTACAAAAAGGGAAAGAAAATACTCTTTAATCTCTGAGGATAGGACAAGAAGCAATGGGCTTAAATTGCAACAAGGGAGGTTTAGCCTGGACATTAGGAAACACTTCTTAATTGTCAGGGTCACTGGCAGGGTGATTAAATTGCCTAGGGAGGTTGTGGAATCTCCATCCCTGGAGATATCTAAGAGCAGGTCGGACAGACGCCTGCCAGGGATGGTGTAGATGGTGCTGGGTCCGGCCATGAGGATGGGGGACTGGACTCGGTGACCTTTCAAGGTCCCTTCCAGTTCTAGTGTGCTAGGATTCTAGGGTTCAGCTGGGGCTAGTAAGAGTGTCTAAGGCTAACCCGGTGTTGGGTGGGTAACCTGTTGTCCGTATAGCTGGGGCTAGCGTTTAAGGACGGGCCACTGTGGGCAGACAGGCTACTGGGCTGGATAGACCTTTGGTCTGACCCCGTGTGGCCGTTCTTATGTTCTAAAGGAGGTTGAGGTTGGACATTGGGAAAAACTTCTTCACTGGCAGGGGAATTAAAATAACACTCCTACGAAGTGGGGGATGGGGGGCAGTGTGCGAACCCCTTGGTAAAGACGGGGAACGGAGGTCACATTTTGCACCGCTCCCAAGGGGGCTAGGAGCGCACGCCACTTGGAAAGGTAGATCGTAGGCGATTCCATCCCAGTCCGGCAGGAAGTTTGCAGCCTCGCCAGGTGCCCCGATTCACGTAGGGCCTCCTGCGCGCCGGAGCGTTTGCCTCGTGGGCGGAGGGGGAATGCGCCAGTGAGTCACTCTGCTCGCTGGATTCTGCGACCACGAGACCCGTTAAGGGGGCTAGGAGCGCACGCCACTTGGAAAGGTAGATCGTAGGCGATTCCATCCCAGTCCGGCAGGAAGTTTGCAGCCTCGCCAGGTGCCCCGATTCACGTAGGGCCTCCTGCGCGCCGGAGCGTTTGCCTCGTGGGCGGAGGGGGAATGCGCCAGTGAGTCACTCTGCTCGCTGGATTCTGCGACCACGAGACCCGTTAGCGGAGCTGGGAGATCGGTTGCCAGATCGGTCCCTGAAGTTTAGGAATACACGTGGCCTGTGTCACTGATTGAGGAGGGACCTCGAGAGGTCACCTCGCCCCCTCCTCTGGCCCCGCCCGCAGGGTTTCTGCCCGCCCCTCCAACCTGCCCCCCTCTCTCCCCACAGATATGAAGACGAAATCAACCGGCGCACGGCCGCGGAGAACGACTTTGTGGTGCTCAAGAAGGTGAGTGGCCCCGCTTCCGAGAGGCGCCCCGCAACCTGATGGGCCCCACCAACGCTGCGGGGAGCTGTGGGCCCCCAACCCCGGGGCCTGCCGGGGAATTACAGCTCCCGCCGGCATCGGCAGCTGGAGCAATCGCTCGTGGGCGAGAGGAAGTTGGCGCGGCGCCGCTCGCCTTTGACATGAAACCCCTGCGGGCGGAGGGAGACAGGGCGGAGGGGCGTGCTTGTGCTAGGGGAGTACAGCGGCGGGTGGAGGTGCCTCGTGGGGAATCCAGTAGCCCCGCCCTCGTGCGCCCTAAACGGAGCCCACCCTCTGAGATCCAGAAGGGGCAGAACCCGGGGTACAGAGAGGATTCGAAGCAAGGGAAATATCGGAGGGAGAGAGTTTCTTTCTGCCCCCACCCCGGACCTGGCTGCTTTCCTGACATGCGTGTTGTGGGGCAGAGACAAGTGGGGGGCTGCCTGCCAGGGAGCTGGGTGAATTCCCCAGCCTGGCCAAGTCTTGCTTTCCAGCCATTGCGGGCCCTGCTGGAGACCCTCTTGCCTGCCAGCCGCCAGGCACTTGGGTGGGGAGCATCGGGGCACGGGGCTGGCACCAGCTGCCCAGAACTACCCAGATGCCCCTCCCCATCCCTGCTGCCCCTCTGCCCCCTGCCTCACTGCCCCGCCTGGCTTTCCTGCCTCCCCTTTAGGACGTGGACGGCTCCTACATGAACAAGGTCGAGCTGCAGGCCAAAGCGGACGCCCTGATGGACGAAATCAATTTCCTGAAAATGATCTATAACGCGGTAAGCAGCCCCCCTTCCGCCCCCCCGCCCGTGTTCGAAGCTTAGAGAGGGGTCAAGGAAGGGGGCGGATTATGCTCCCCTTTCACAGGGTTCAAACTCTTCAGCGTCAGGATCCTCCACACCCCCCGGTGGGCAGAGAACTGCTCCCCCCCCTGGTTTCGCAGCCGGGAAACTGGCAAACCGAGAAACGAACCATTCGCCTCAGGGCACACAGAGCAGAGAATGAAACCCAGGTCGGGGTGGGGAGCAGGGAACAATTTTTATAATGGGGGATACAACCGTAAATCCTGCATAGAGTGGAAATCTCTTCAAGCCTGGGGGTGCCGCGACACTCCCTGCACCTCGAGTTCCAATGCCTCAGGTGTCCTAGGCTAGCGCTTTAACCATTGCACCATACTGCCTCTGAAGTACAGACTACTGTAGCAATCCCCTCAGCCGGCATTGGAGGCAGGGGTTGAAGTCTGGGCCTACCACACAGATTGCTACTCGTCACACTGCAGGCCTGCAGGAGCTGCAAGTCACAGACCAGAATCAACGTGGTGCTGGTGCTTATTTATTAGGTGTATTACGGTAGCACGACCGTGCTCCAAGCACAGACCAGCACACTACTGTGCATTTATTAGGTGTATTACGGTAGCACCCAGGTGCCACAGTCATGCAAGGACCCCAGTGTGCCAGGTGCGGTACATTATGTATTAGGTGCATTACGGTAGCAGTCAGGACCGTAATACACCTAATAAAGCGGCTACTGTACAGTGCCGATGACTGAGGCTTTGCGATCCATGCAGGAACTGAACCAGATGCAGCAGCAGGTCTCCGATACCTCCGTCGTCCTGTCCATGGACAACAACCGAAGCCTGGACCTGGACAGCATCATCCGGGAGGTCAAGGCGCAGTACGAGGACATCGCCAACAGGAGCCGCACTGAGGCTGAGTCGTGGTACCAGAGCAAGGTGAGTCCCCAGGGTCGCAGCTGGGATGAGGGCCAGTGACCACCTGGGCTTTTTTCACTCCTTGGACCCACGGCAGGCAGCTACACAGCAAGATTTTCATCAGCAGCTCTCAAACTACTTCCCAGGGGGGGATAAATATCAGTCTTAATGTGGGGAAACTGAGGCACACAATATTAAGAAGATGTGAAAGCGCAGTTGGGGTCCAAACTGTGTGATGGCTAACGCTAGGCGGACCCCCACGGCCTGGTTGCACACACGTGCTGTGGGTGCGTGACGCCGCGGTGGCTTCTGCCGTAGAAGAGGTCGGACTCCGTCCCCGTCTCAACGGCTATTCCCCAATTCCCCACCGCGGCAGCGAGTAACGGGCGGCGCGTTCTCCCCCTTCTGTCCGAACATTTAGTACGAGGAGCTGCAGCTCACGGCCGGCCGGCACGGGGACGACCTGCGCAACACGAAGGTGGAAATTTCTGAGATCAACCGGATGATCCAGAGGCTGCGGAATGAAATCGACAACGTGAAGAAGCAGGTAGATGGGGAGCATCTTTGGGGGGACGAGGACACTTTTCCTCTGACTTCCCTTCCCTCATCACATGAGGGGTGCAGGACTCGGAGTACAGAGCCCCGTTATGTTGATTCCGAAATAACGGGCTCACTGAGTAGACGGGCTCTTTATTCCGCGCTATCGCGGCTGTGTAGACATGGCCTTAGACACCAACAAATATGTCCTGAGCTCGCATGGGTGAAACCCACTTCATCAGCTGTCCTGCAGTGTGGTGCTGAGGCCCTCGCGGAGAGAGGAGGAGTTGGGTCTACTGCAGGGGTGGGCAAATCCGGCCTGCCCTGGTTTAGAATTTGGCCAGATCTCTTCCCGCGGCCCAGGATGCAATGCGCAACCGCGGCGATGCGTCAGCCACGCAGCGATTGAGTCAGGATCTGGGGGCCCCTCGTGCGACTCCCTCCAACGGAGCAGCGGCTGGTTGACACCACTGCCCGCGAAGGGAGTGTCACGCCCATTCTGAGTCCGGGTTTACACGACAGTAAGCACCAGGGGGAACGACTCCCATTCGCTTGGAGGAAGTTACTCCCCATTGACCCTGGTGCATGCAAAAGAGGAGCATGCCCGTTGACGTCCAGCGGGTGAGGCCTGATTTGCACCCGCGCAGGAGACAGGGACTCATCCCCGTTGCCTTTCAGTGAAGTGACTTCAGATTTGCCCTCAGTGATCTCACGATCACGCGGGATTTACACGGGCTGGAGCAGGCAGCCGGGCCCAGTGTGAGTTTTTGCTGCTTGGGCCACCCGTTGAATAACACGATGATTTTTCTGTGTCGCAGTGCGCCAACCTGCAAACGGCCATCTCTGAGGCAGAGGAGCGGGGTGAAATGGCCCTGAAGGATGCCCGAGCGAAACTGGCCGATCTGGAAGACGCCCTGCAGAAGGCCAAGGCGGACTTGGCCCGCCAGCTGCGGGAGTACCAGGAGCTGATGAACGTCAAGCTGGCCCTGGATATCGAGATCGCCACCTACCGCAAGCTGCTGGAAGGAGAGGAGAGCAGGTGGGGGCAACCTTACATAGTATTATTCGGGTTACGTCCACACAGCAACAGTGCAGTGCAATGTACACAGGAGTCAGACAGCTAGCCTGTATGCCGGGATTTTGCTGCTCGGTTTGGTGAGCTGGTTGATCGAAGCTGCCTTGGTTATGCCTACATGCACTGCAGAAGCACCTCCTGATTGCAGTGTAGACATACACACAAAGAGGGGCAGAGTAAAGGGTACCTTCCAGCAGGCGCTCTCGAGAGCAAAGAAAAGTGGTTTCTTTCATGTTGGAAGAGTTTCTTGCATGGGGTGGGATTTCCCGGAAATTAGTAGACACTAAAAAGAAGCCACATAAACGATGAAAGGAGGGAGGAGACCCTATGGGTATGTCTACACTGACACCCTAGTTCGGACTAGGGTGGTAGTGTAGACATACCCTATGTGACATAAGCCGCGGGGATGTAGATGTAGGGGATCCGACACGATGAGCCCGCTGGTCCCTGCGGGGCATAATATACATTGGTATTGGTCATTGGTTGCCTGTGAGCTGAGCATGTCACTTATGTCCTTTCCCTCCCGGTCTCCCTCTTCCCTAACAGGCTGGCAGGCGAGGGCGTCGGACCCGTGAGCATCTGTAAGTGACCCAACGTTTTCATGGTTTTTTTTCCAAATGAAACTGCTGTCTGGGCCGTGGGGGCTGGCAGACCCCGCAGGCCCCAGGGCAAGGAGTAGGGGGAGTTGGTTCTATACCCGGAAGGGGCGGGGCCTCAGACAGAAGGGGCGGGGCCTAGGGTGGAAGAGGCGGGGCCTAGGGTGGAAGGGGAATCATCCCTTAGCACTGCCCAGACCACGGTTCCACCCCCCCTCCCAGCCCTCAGAGCTGCTTGGCGTGTCCAGCACAGCTCTCGATCTAGTAGCAGTGGGTGCTCTGGGCCCCGGAAGTCCGTGAAATAAAGAGGAGGCCCCCGGCCACGCCCCGCGCGAATGAAAACCCGTCTCCCCCCTTCTGAATGCAAGTGCCGCCCTCGACACCCGTGGTGTAAATAGCTACGCAGCCCCTTTCTCTCTTGGCCGTTCCCTGTTTCCCCGGGGCCTGCGCACCGCCCAGGGCTCCCCGAGGGAACCGGGCATGTGGTTGGCCAAAGCGTTCCATTTCCTGAGCCTCCGTCACAATCCACGTCCCAGGTGAGGTTCGGAAAAGCACAGAGGCCAGGCCGAATTCCCGGCTCAGCCGCGCTTTAACTGTAATTCCCATTGGAATCGTTTACTTCAAGAGAACCTGGAGTGTTTTGCTGAATCGGGACTGGTCTGATCTCCGCCGCGAGTAAAAGCCATCACTTACAGCAGATGGGAAGGGGGGTTTCCATTTTCATGCCTGGGAAGACGGTGGTCTGAAATCCTTCTCCGAGTGAGCCCGTTCATTCGGCTCGCCGGAAAGCGAAAACGACAGCCTCAGGAAATCACACATCAGTGTGTTCTCACTAGCGGAAGCAGTTGCCTGAATCTGTAATAAGATCAGGTCTGGCCCCTAAGGTGTGTCCTAAGATGCGGGCAACTAAAAATATCTTCAGCTCCATCTTTGTGTGTGGGTGTGTGTGTGTGTGTGGGTGAGTGATCCGGTGGAAAGGTGATTGCTTTTCTTGATGTATAAACTGCAACACTGGTTTCTTCTTCTTTGCTCGCGTGGCAACAGCCCCTTGACTGCCGGGTGTCTGCTACTGTATGTCCAATAAAAAGCATTTCTCATTTTTAAACCTGTTGTTTCACTCTGTTTTTCCTCCCAAAGGACGTGTTATCACAACACTAGGTGTACCTCAACTGCGAACAGGTCCTCTTTGCACTAGGAGTCTATAAACACCTAGGAAGAGACGGTCCTTGCCTTGACGAGCTCATGTCTAAGGCCTTGTCTATACTTACCCAAAGATCGACGCTCCAGAGATCGATCTTCTGGGGTTTGATTTAGTGGGTCTAGTAAGGACCTGCTCAATCAACCACCTACGGTGCCCCCATCGATCCCAGTACTCCGCAGAGTCTCAAGGAGTAAGCGAAGTCAATGAGAGTTTCTCCCTTCAGCCTCCCCGGAGCTAGAGTGGCATATCTTAGGTTGAGTTTCTCCCTCAGATAGACCTGGTCTAAGACACAGCTGGGAGGTATAATTCCCCGTTCAGCCAGTGCCCTAAAATAACCATCTGGCTTCAGCACAATGGAGAGCAGGGCGGGATAGCTGCCCACGTCCAATCCCAGCTGAGATCCGACGTACGTGCTTGGGTAGCTAGAACCAGAACCACTCTGGCACGACCGTCCAGACTTTTTTAGTGCATTCGCATACTGTGTCTACCCAAGCTGAGAATTAAACTTCCCAGCTGCAGCGTGGAGGTAGCCCCGGTGGAAAGAGATTAAAAGCAGGAGAAAAGAAGAATCATTACCGCCCTGTTTTCCAGAGCAGGCCCAGAGAGTCCACGACCTGCCCAAAGTCTCACATAAAAGCCTGCGGGAGAGCTACAAGGGAGCTCAGGTCTTCAGACTCCTGGCCAGGACATTAATAACAAACATTCCCCCGATGTGGCACTTGGTGGAAGAGGGGTGGGCGGGGTAGCGCCTCCCAAACGTTGAGCAAGATTTCCTGCAATCGCGTTTACTGGCAAATCTAACCCCTACAACGCCCCCCTCCAAAGCCAGTGGAAACGCTGGCGGAACGTGAGTCACGTTCAGTGCCGCCACAGTGAACACGGGTGGATTACAGCGGGAAGAGGTGACATTAGAGAACCCCAGGGTGGGCAGAGACCTCAGGAGTCACAAGTCCAACCCTCTACCCAAAGCAGGACCAACCCCAACTCAATCAACGGAGCCAGGGCTGGGTCAAGCCGGGACTTAAACCCCTCTAGGGATGGAGACTCCACCCCCTCCCTAGGGAACCCAGCCCAGCGCTTCCCCACCTGCCTAGGGAAATAGTTTGTCCTAATCTCCAACTTAGACCTCCCCCACTGTAACTTGAGCCCATCGCTCCTCGTTCTGCCATCTGCCCCCACTGAGACCAGCCTCTCTCCAGCCTCTTTGGAACCCCCTTTCAGGGAGTTGCAGGCTGCTCTCCAATCCCCCCTCGCTCTTCTCTTCTACAGACTAAACAACCCCAAATCCCTCAGCCTCTCCTCGTCGGTCATGTGCTCCAGCCCCCGAATCATTTCCCGCTGGACCCTCTCCAATGCGTCCACATCCTTTCTGTAGTGGGGGGCCCAGAACTGGCCGCAACACTCCAGACGTGGCCTCCCCAGTGCCGAATAAAGAGGAATAATCACTTCTCTAGATTTGCTGGCAACACTCCTCCTAATGCCCCCCAATCTGACAATTGGAGAAGCAACCGAATTAGGACAGTCTCTTGGGAGCACAACACTGTCCATACGTGATGCAGCTGACTGTAGAAAGGATCCGTGGAGGATACTTCCAACCCATTGTGTGTGATCACACAGCACAGCCAACAACTTGGCTGTGGGGCAGAGCTAAGGGTAAATTCCAAATCCACCAGCTCCAATGAGAAGTTTACAGGGCGTTGCTTTAGTAGGGAATTTAGTAGCCAGATCTCTTGAGGGCCGCTGATGAATTAACGCAGGGGCCTGCCAGGGATGTTGGATGCTTAATCGCCCGGACGTATCTCTGGAAATCTCCACTCACGCATCGTGTGAGGCCCAGGCAACTTCTTGTTCCCCCAACCCGCCACTCAGTAGCAGGGGCAGCAGAATGGGGGAGGGGGAGGGATGGAAATACAATGGAGGCTCCCCCTCTCCCCCACAGACACACGTGTGCCCCGGGACAAGTGGCAGGGGGTCCCAGAGGATCTGGCGTGGCCGGCACAGGACCCAATGGTGCTGGGATGGGACCTGGGACAGGTAGGAACCCACAAGACCCGGCTGGAACTGGCTGCCAGAGGACCCACTGAGTCTCTCCCTCTAGAGCCTCAGCAGAGCCATCCCAAGGGAGGGCACGGGGCAACCTCCCACAGTGCCCCAGGCCTGGGGCAACCCCCCTGCCACAGGCCTTGACTCCACCCTTTCCCTAAACCCCGACCCTCCCTCCTTGCCCCCTCCCTCCAAGCAATGTTTCCCAAGGGACTACCGGGGGGAAGGGGCTGGTGTGGCGACAACTGGGGGTCTCTCCCCACTTGGGCGGTGGGACCAGTGCGGCCCAGCAGCATGCACCACCCCACTGCCTGTGTAGGGGGTGTGTGGGGGGAACCCTGCTACCACTGGGCCGGGCTCCTATAATCCCCGGGTCCCTCCCGTCCATAGGGCGGTTGGGGTGGCCCCCGTGGGACCCACAGAAGCACAGAACCTGGGGCAGCAACTGGGGGTCTCTCCCCACTTGGGCGGTGGGACCAGTGCGGCCCAGCAGCATGCACCACCCCACTGCCTGTGTAGGGGGTGTGTGGGGGGAACCCTGCTACCACTGGGCCGGGCTCCTATAATCCCCGGGTCCCTCCCGTCCATAGGGCGGTTGGGGTGGCCCCCGTGGGACCCACAGAAGCACAGAACCTGGGGCAGCAGCCTGGATTCGTCCTATGGACGGGGCGGCTCGGACCGCCCATCCCAGGCAGACCCGCCGTACGCTGGAGCCTCCGCGGAGACGCTCTAGAGCCCGCCTGTGGGACGCTGGCCGAGAGTCGCTCCGGTCTGGAGAACAGGGCTGCGTGATCCCCTCCGGGAGTGGAGGCCCTGGGGGGCAGAGGGAGGGGACTCCCTGAGGGGGCCCATGGGGGCTGTCTCATTGAAGGCGGCCCACCGTAGGCCACGCTCTTTGAGTGCCTGACCCCTTCTCTCCCTCGTGTCCGCAGGAAATGCAAGAAGGGGAAAGACGCGTCTCCCTGCTGCAGCCCAGCTCCCACCCCATCTGTGCGGCCTGGGCCCCATGGCACCCCCATCTCAAGGCTGGAGTCAGGGAGAGGTTGTAAGTAGGGTTGCCAGGTGTCCGGTATTGACCCGAACAGTCCAGTATTTTCGCCTCCTGTCCGGAAAAAAATCCAGAAAATACTGGACACCTAAAATGTCTGGTATTTTCTGTGGTTTTTTCCCTACTAGGAGGCGAAAATACTGGACACCTGGCAACCCTACGACACACTCAGCAACTGGGCCCAGCCCCTGGCCCACTCCCCCCCAGGCTCCCACCCCCGGCTCCCCTGCTTACCTGGTTCTGCAGGGAAGCTGCCTTCTGGCTGGGTCAAGAAAACAAGATGGTCGCCAACAAAAAGCCTAAAGACCAAGGGGAAGCAATGCCTTCCCTGGGTCTTAGTGCTCAACCTCTCCCCTGTTCCTATCCCTATTCTGACTCTGCACACACTTAAAGGGGCCATGCTGTTTTAATCATGGGGTTTTTTTTTTGTTGTGGGGGCAGGTGTTCGGTATTTTTGGTTAAACCATCTGGCAACCCTAGTTGAAGGGTGAAAAGATCTGCCCTCCCTTTCCGGCAGGAGGGTTGTGATCCCTGCTGGGGTGGACTGATCCTAAGCTGGTGTGTGGGCGTGACATGCCCTGGAGCCAGGTTGGAGTCTCACTGAAGCGGCTAAGGCGAGACTGACACATTCTCCTCCGTAAAGAGTTGAGCTGTTGACCCAGCTCTGCGGTCGCGATGGAGTTCCTGGATCAGGCGGGGTGTGGCCTCTGACAGCGATCTGCCTTCCCCCGAGGGTCCTGGCTTTGATCTTCTCTTGCATGG